ACTCCTTAAGCAGAGAAGCCAGCAGTCTCAAGGCAAGATAGAGTTGCCAGGTGTTTCTCATGAATTCTGGGAAGGCCACGACAAAGAAAAAAAGGTGACCTTGAGAATGAATCTGCACCAAAATAGCAGAGGAATGTTGACGCCGATAGACAGGAGGGTATATAATGCCCCGGACCCCCGCCCAACTTACTCTTTTTAAAAATATATATATTTTATTGATTTTTTACAGAGAAGAGGGGAGAGGGATAGAGAGTTAGAAACATCGATGAGAGAGAAACATTGATCAGCTGCCTCCTACACACCCCCTACTGGGGATGTGCCCACAACCAAGGTACATGCCCTTGATCAGAATCAAACCTGGGACCCTTCAGTCCGCAGGCCGACGCTCTATCCACTGAGCCAAACCGGTCAGGGCCCAACTTACTCTTCAGATTAGCTGAGAGCCCGTCTGTGCCTCATAAGCCAGGTGTATAGGTTTGCTTGCTTTGCTTTTCCAATAAAGGCGCATGCTTAAATTGCTTTAATAAATTGGCTTTTCACAACGCAGTTAAGGTCTCTCGTATGAATTCATTTAGATGAGAAGACAAGGATTGGGGAACAGCCCTCTCCCAAGGACTTAGGGGGCTGTCTGGTGACACCTCTCTGGTGACGGTAAGAGGTGCCAGATACCTTTTTTGGGGGAGGTTGTCTTAAAGGGATTAAAAGTTATATTTTTAAAAACCTCTTACTTCCTGTACTATCTCACACACGTTTGGTTTCAGAATTCAGCCTCCAGCTCCAGGTCTGCTTGGGATTGAAACAGGACTCTAATTATACCAAGAACCATGCATGTCTACGTCACAGAAAACCTCAGCTGAGACAGGTCTGCAGCCCTAGGCGAGTCTTTGCATTTCTATCCAAACACACTTCCTTCTTGAGTGGGAACAGAACCAATTTACGTTTCATCACTTGTGTCGAGAGATTGTTGGTAGAAACCTGAGTTAAACAGCATGCAATCTCAGGTGCATTCCTGGAATGTTTCAGTGTCATTATGGGTTGAAGCCCGGGGCCGGGCCGCTGTCCCTGCCCTTCTGGCTCTGACTTGGTAACCGTGCTCAGGTCACAGAAACTCTAAAACTCGGTTTCCTCATCTGCATGGGGATATGAGTATCTACAGAGTCTGCCTCAGGGGGCCACCTGAAGCTCAAAGGAGAGAATGAATGTGAAACACTTTTGTAAACTGGACAACGTTGGCCACCTGTAGGCGGGAGAGGAGGAGGATGTTAGATTGGTAAAGCAGCCCTAACCGGTTTGGCTCAGTGGATGGAGCGTCAGCCTGCAGACTGAAAGGTCCCAGGTTCGATTCCAGTCAAGGGCATGTACCTTGGTTGTGGGCACATCCCCTGTAGGAGATGTGCAGGAGGCAACTGATTGATGTTTCTCTCATCAATGTTTGTAACTCTCTATCCCTCTCCCTTCCTCTCTGCAAAAAATCAATAAAATATATATATTTTAAAAAAGATTAGTAAAGCAGTTCCCCAGGGAGAATCCGACGTATAGCACCGCCTGACTTCTCTTGAACCCACAGTTCAGAATATATACGTAAGGGAGCAGGGTGCTTGCTGGAGAGAGCCATGGCCTGGAAGTGTGTGGCTCTTCATCACCTTTCCAACACCACACCGCATTGAGATGCATTAACCACACCACATTAAGAGGTTTGGGTAATTCCCTTAAGCACTTCAGTTTCTTCATCTGTAAAAGAGATGAATACTTACATCTTCTCTAAGTTATGAAAATGAACAAAGGGAAACCTGGCTAACATGGAGTTAGGAGGCCACAAGGGGGCGCTCCCACACAGCACCACTGGATGTCAATTCCAGGAAGCATTGCCAGTTACAGACCCCAGAAAGGTCAACAGGAAAGAACCACCAAGTGCAGTCCTCAACAGGAAAAGATGTACATTGCCTCTTCTACAAGAAGTCCAACCCAGCAACTCAGCCAATGAGAAACTGGCATCTGCCTGAGCTCTGCTTTTCTCCAATGCCTTCCAAACAACCCCTCCCAACCTCCTTTTTCTCCATAAAATGAGTCCATCTGTTTGTAGGATTGCCTATGGCTTTTGCTACAGCTTGCTGTCCCAAATTATAATGCTTTACTGCTCCCGAATAAGCACATTTTGCTAGTAAAATAACTGACATGTATGTTTCAGGTCGAGAGTATGAAAACCATGCTTTTCAGGCTTCCTCAGATAGTGAGGATTTATTTTCAAGCTCAAGGACTTGTCTCCCTCACTTCTACCAGTATAGATACTTTCTTTTCCAGTCCGTGCCTCACTACCCCAGTGCTGTGTCCACTGTGCACACTCCTTAGCATTGTTCCCCGTGTCATTCGGGACCTGGGCCCTCGCCTCCTTCTCTAGCCTCAATCAAGGCATTCTGAGCAACCATCCTGCCCCACCCCCACCCCTACAGCATCTCAGGTCTTTGTTCTCACCTGACTTCGCTCAGCTCCTATTGCTCAAGACTCAGCTCTGGTGCTGCCCCTGGGAGAGCAATCTCTGACAATCCCCGTTTCTTCTGCGCCCTTGCTGTGCTCACGGAGAAAGAGGGCTTCTCTCCCTTTAGCTTCCGGGTCCTACGCCCCCTCCTGAATGGGTCACTGGTCTGGGCATTGAGGCAGCGATGACTGGCAGCCCTGGCCCCTAACTTAGCCCTGAGCTGAAGGAGGAAGAGGTGGGGGGAGGGGGGAGGGTGACAGCCTCTTCTAGACAAGACTAAAGTTGAGGGGCAGGGGATTCTGCAGAAGGGAAGTTAGATGTTGTTAGGAGAAGAAGTGGGAATGCATGCTGAGCTGTTAAAGAAACAGTAGCCACCCCCACCCCCCAACACACACACACAAACAGTGGCCTGCACTGCAGTTTATCCAATGGCTTCCCTTCTTCCAAACATTTTCTTTTATTTTTAAAATATATTTTTATTGATTTCATAGAGGAAGGGAGAGGGACAGAGAGATAGAAACATCGATGATGAGAATCATTGATCATCTGCCTCCTGTACGCCGCCTACTGGGGATGGAGCCTGCAACCCAGGCATGTGCCCTTGACCAGAATCGAACCTGGGACCTCTCAGTCTGCAGGCCAATGCTCTATCCACTGAGCCAAACCGGCTTGGGCCAAACAGTTTTTAAAAATGCCCCCATTTAAAAGCATGCAGTTATTCTTCACATGCGTGAAAATGCATTCACCACATTCCAAAGAGAGAGACCTCATTTGTCTCTTTGCCCAGGGCTCTAAGTGATTGATTTTTCTCCTCTTTTTGACAGCTAACGGCTAAACTACAAATGTGATCACTTCCCACTCAGGCGGTGTAAACCTGGTGGAGGGAAATTAGGGCAACTCCTACTCACAGCAAAGGGTAAATAATAAGCAGGGAGATTGTCCCCTAGGATGCATTCAAGTCTAATTAGAAGTAACAAGAACTGCCTGCCCCAGGGGAATGGCGTTCTTTGGCCAATTTAGCTATTTCCACTTTTACTCACAAGAGAGATTCTTATTGACTATTTTCCTCCGTGACCACAACTGCATTGGGGATTGGGGAGGCTTGGCTCAGGGACTGAACTGCTGTAGTCACCTACTTCCTACTGCAGTTCAGAGGGTGGAGTTCACACTCCAGAACCCTGGCCAGCGGCTTCATGATGGGTAAGGAAAGGCTTCAGGGTTGATTCACTCTCCTTTTCAGGTTCATGGCTGCCATCTTGACCTCCACCCGAGGACAATTTGAAACAACAATCTTGGGGTTAGGAGGACGAATGGATGGGCCTCTTGTTGCAAAGCTGTGTCCTGGTGAATAGCGCTCTCTCTCTCTCTCTCTCTCTCTCTCTCTCTCTCTCTCTTTTATTTATTTATTTATTTATTTTATTATATTTTATTGATTTTTTACAGAGAAGAAGGAAGAGGGACAGAGAGATAGAAACATCGATGAGAGAGATCTATCAGCTGCCTCCTGCACGCCCCCTACTGGGGATGTGCCCGCAACCAAGGTACATGCCCTTGACCGGAATCGAACCTGGGACCCTTGAGTCCGCAGGCCGACGCTCTATCCACTGAGCCAAACCCATTCGGCTCTCTCTCTCTCTTTTAAAAAAATATCCTCACCTGAGGATATTTTTCCATTGATTTTTTTTTTAAGAGAGAGTGTGTAAGTGTTTCCCCCACATCCTGCGTGATTCAGGGTTCAGGATCTGGAAGAGGGACCACACACAAATTATAGAGACAAGACAAGTAATAATTTGGAAATATTGGGGGGCCAGGCGGGCAAGTCCAACTCAAGGGGAAGGACTTCCACTGGTGCTCAGGCCTCGCCAACCTTTTATTGGTCTGGGATACACCCATAACCCTTAGGCAGGCAATTTCCAGTAACAGGCAGACTAGCCCATCAGCAAGGATTTACATAATAATAAATGGGGAAGTTGCTTCATCTACCATTGTCTGGACTAACAGTGGGTGCACAGCCCTGACCTTTGCCAGGGCTTCTAGGGTCACCAGCCTTCCAGGTTCCTTGTCCACACCTCTCTGCTAGTGAAGACAATAGGTGGCTTCCCACATCTCCCCCTTTCCTTTTCCTTAAAAAATCTTGAAAAGTGAATGCCGCCTAAAAGGGTTTGAGTCCTTTTAAGACTCTTCATTCTGCATCTGCAGACTAGAAAAAAACATGAGAACAAAAATGAGACGAGTAATGGTTATGCTGAGAAGCAAATGAATCAGTCTGTAGTAAGTTTCTTTCTGGGCCAACAGTTCTTTGAGTCCCAATTTCAATGTCCAACAGTTCATGTGTACATGCCAGTAATGATATGCTAGTTCTGGATGGTGGACAAACGGTGGCAATGCAGGTCTGACCCTCTCTGGCTTGGTCCTGGGCAACCTGCAGCGACGCACAGCTGCTGACTGCTAGCATGGCAAGGCATCTTCACCATCTCCATCTCTGGACAGTTTCTCCTCTTGTCTTCGTGGCTGGAGCAATCTGGTCAGTTTCTCTCTGGGATCTGTTGTTGCAGGAATCCACACAGGCTTGGAGGAGTTTTCTGGAAATATACAAACATATTCTCGAACAAAGGTTAATAAAGGAATCTTTCTATAAACTAGACTTGGGATCCTTTCATATTTGCCCAAATGATTTTCCTTTGGCTTATTTTGACACCATGTGTGTTTTCATGGGTGTCTTGTCTTCAACATTACAAGTGAAAAATAATTTTTAAAGTAAAATTTTCTTGATGTAATTTACTCACAGGGGATTATTCCACTATCCCCCTTCTTTTTTGATTTAAATAATATTAAGAGGCTTTTGGAAATTTCGCAATGCAGTCTTGATAACTTTTAATTTTAATTTTCTGTACAGAAATATGACTGGTTTGGATTCATTCCATGTTAAGCAAGTTTACTATGAGATAACCATTAGTAAAAAAATTAGTTAATGCTTCAGGAACAGTTTCCTGCCCAGTACAACAAAGTTTTTATGAATATTCATTTATTTTAATTAGCCAATTTATATCAATCTGAAATAAAATTTATTTTTTAACTTTACTTGTCCTAAGTTATGGACAGTAAATTACATTAATTAAATTTCTGGTATTAGTCTTTGGGTAAGTTTACATAAACTTTGTTTAGGGAGGCAAAAACACAAATTACTGACTTTAGCTTATAAGGCCCAATATATTGATTTTTAATTACAGTTAGACATCTGAAGGAAACCTCTTTTTATTTCCTTCCAGAGCACTTATTAGGCCACTCTTAGAGAGCTTCTTCTTTTTTTAATTAAATCTTTATTGTTCAGATTATTACAGTGGCTCAGCCTCCCCAATTACCTGAGGTGGACACTCTTGGTGCACCCCTTTGTGGGCTTTGTGCACAGTCTTGTTGTAGTTAAGCCTTGATTGTTGTAGGTATCACTGGGAGGAATTGACCTCCAGGCCAGTTGGCTGTGAGAATCAGCTGTGTCTGCAGTGGGAGAACTTCTGTGCTGGAGACACCCTTAAGGGGCAAGAATTGCTTCAGTGGGGCTTTGGTGCTCACTGAGTCTGTCCCTTATGGATCTGAGGAGTTGTAATCTAGATGGTTCCACTCTGACCACTGGGTACACTGGCTCTTGAATCTCTAAGGAGGTGCTAATTTAGCCTCTGCCTGAGGCTACCCAGCAGGAGCTACGGAGAGATCTGCAGATTCCTCTTCTTTGTTTGCTGTTTGGAGGTGCCCAGATGAGGCCCAGCTGTGAAGCAATGCAAGCTGCTGTGGGGCCTCGGGCCTTCTTTTGGATGTTCTGGGTCTCTCTAACCCAGCTGCAGTTTGTTAGGAAATTTTAGATTGCAAAGGGCCAGGCCATTCATATGCAAAAGCCTCTGCCACAGCTTGGGTGGGGTGGGGTCTCAGGGAATCAACAGGGTGGAGCAATCAGCTATGGCTGATCCTCAGGCCTGCCCTAAGATGTCCCGGGTCTCAGAGTCCCACGGTAATCGCTGCAAGCACCTCTGAGAGAAAGCCGCCCTCGAGTTCCGCCCGATGCCAGACAGTCCAGTTTCTCCCCGTATGAGTCTGGGTCCCCAGAGACTCGCCCGGAACTGGAGTTCAGAGCAGTCAGGAGCTTGTGACTCCCTCCCGATTGAACAAGACAACCGCGTCCTCAGTTGCCAGCCCTTTCCATGTGCGCCTCAGTACCTCTGCACTTTACTTCCGCACCTCCTCTGAGTCTCAGTGTGCTTTTTTCTCTTTCCTTCTAGTTGTAGAATTTCCACTCAGCCAGCCTTCCTGTGGTTCTGGAGAGTTTCTTTTAAAAGACAATTTTCTTTCTTTTTTACACCAAGCAACAAATGTAACGAACATGGTTGCTTTTTGAGATTTTAATAAATACTGCCACAAAGCCATATATTTCAAGTGATTTTTTTTTATGGTGACTATAATTATTGTCAGATTTAGTATTTTAACAACAATCTGTAAATGTTAGCAATTATATTTTTAAAGAGTATCCTCTTTGGCTTATTTGCACATACAGAGGGATTATGGGAGGTTTCAGTAATTTCCTAGACTTTACTTGGATTCAAATATAATTTCAGCATATAAAGAATAAATAATATGTAAGATTTTAAAATGAGGCACATGGCTTATTGCAAGCAGCGTATTGAGCATTGAAAATAATTCATAAACTCCTAATCTGTGAAACGCAAATACCCCAAGCATCACTGGCAGACGCCCCCACAGGGAATCATGACTCTTGGCTGCCCAGTCCCTGATGGGACACATACTACCCCCCTCCCCCCGCCCCCCAGAGTTTCCTGTTTGAACTTGGCTCTGAATCTCTGCAAGTTCTTTCTGATGCAGATGCCTTAACAACCCACATGACCCATCCCTTGCTCTTGATTGGAGCTCAGGTGCACGGTCTTTCCCGATTGGCTAATTCAAAGGGAGGGGTTGGCCTTTGCTGTTTCAAGATGGCGGCCCCCAGGGGAGCGGCAAGCCATGCGGCCAACACGGCGGCTGCCAAATCATGCAGCCCAAAATGGCGGCTGTCTAAACCAGCCGTGGGCAAACTACGGCCCACAGGCCGGATCCGGCCCGTTTGAAATGAATAAAACTAAAAAAAAAAAAAAAAGACCGTACCCTTTTATGTAATGATGTTTACTTTGAATTAATATTAGTTCACACAAACACTCCATCCATGCTTTTGTTCCGGCCCTCCGGTCCAGTTTAAGAACCCATTGTGGCCTCGAGTCAAAAAGTTTGCCCACCCAACTGTTCTTTGCAATTAAGTTTAAACTGGTTTTTGTATTAAAAATTTCAGTTGAGATCACAGAATTAATCCTCTTTTTTAATCAGACCAATAAGCAACATAATTTGAATTCCTAATTATTTCAGAGAAAACAAAAATTATTTTCTCAAAAATAAATTTCTAGTCATTTAGCTACCACAACTACACAATTTCTCCCAATTCAATTCGAACCTTAAACTTTTAGCTGGAAAGTCAAATATTTAGCATTTCTTTAGATTAATAACATCAAAAATTTAAAAAATACAAGACATAATCAATTAATAGATTTAATTCTGCCCTCTAGATTTTTCATGAGGCAAATTTAGATTAATATTTCAGTGTTTTGTCATTTCAAACATACCTAGCTATAAGTTTTTATCATTTGGATTCAGTCAACTCCAAGGTCCCAAGTTCCCAGCGGCTCTGGAAAACCATGCTTGAGGCTGGCAAAACAGGCTTGGCCTAGCCCTTGACTTTAAAACGACCATAATTTTTTTCTGGGAAAAGTCAAGAAGCAAACTTGTAGTTGCATTGTTTCCTGCCGGTTGCTTGCCTGTGGGAAATTTCAAAATTGGCCGCGAGATTGCAGCCGTGGGGAAACACTGTCTTCCGCTGGCGAAACAAGTTTGGTCTGCCCTCCCTTTGGTCCATTTAAATGTCAAAGAGCTAAGCTAGTTTCTCCCTGGGCCATTGGACCTTCACAATCAATACATTATTCATCAACTTTTGAAAGCGGTTCACTAGCATCCCCAAAACTACTCTTTATTATAGAAACACCAATCCCGCCTCTAGAACCAGCCTGCACCACTCCCTGGATCAAATATGCCATCCTTCTTAGGAATAAACCAGTCCTGGGGGTTATTCTGTACCATGTGCAAGGAGATTTCAGCTCAAAACTATCTACTATTCGAAATCGGATGATGCGCACATTTTGTCTTAAGCCAGCTTTCTCTGTACACGTGCACAGAAATCCTAGACGCATTTCTAAGTTTTTAAAACTTTTCATGGCGAGAAGGAGACTTTTCCTAGCTCACTCGGGAAGGGGACAGGATCACCAAGTGTCTCCCTTCTCCCACCTCCTGCTTGCTTTTCATAAGTTATTTGAGCATTCAGCCTGTGGTTTGCAAGGGCTTGCTCCCGGCATTTCTAAAGGGTGTCCCAAAATTTACGCAAGAAGTAATTTTGATAGAAAACACAGGTTTATAATTAAAAATTGTAAATTTTTTATTGATCCATAAAGTATACAGTATAGGGTTATGTATGGAATAGCATATCGGGTAAATGGCCTCCATGGCTTTGCTGGCACATACGCACTCTTTTGTTGAAATTTTCCATGACTGTTTTGCATAAATGTGGCTGAATTTCGATGAGGCTCATTTTCATCTCGATGGCTTAGTTAATCGACAAAATTGTCGCATTTGGGGTTCAGAAAATCCATGAGTGATTGTTGAGAAACAAATGCATCCACAACGTGTCACTGTTTGGTGCGGATTTTGGGCTGGAGGCATCATTGGACCATTCTTCTTCGAAAATGCGGCTGCTCAGGCAATAACAGTTAATGGTGCTCGCTATCTCGACATAATAATCCAGTTTTCTGTGCCTAAATTGCAAGATATGGATGTGGACGACATGTGGTTTCAACAAGATGGTGCCACATGCCATACAGCCTGAGAAACAATTCAATTACTGCATGAGTCATTTCCTGGTCGTGTAATTTCCCGTTTTGGTGATCAGAATTGGCCACCCAGATTATGAGATTTAACGCCGTTGGACTTTTTTCTTTGGGGTTTTTTGAAGTCTAAGGTTTATGCCAACAAGCCCACGACCACCCATGCCTTGAAGGAGGAAATTGAGCGCTGTATCAATGAAATTCAGCCACATTTATGCAAAACAGTCATGGAAAAATTCAACAAAAGAGTGCGTATGTGCCAGCAAAGCCATGGAGGCCATTTACCCGATATGCTATTCCATACGTAACCCTATACTATATACTTTATGAATCAATAAAAAATTTACAATTTTTAATTATAAACCCATGTTTTCTATCAAAATTACTTCTTGCGTGAATTTTGGGACACCCTTTATGATAGGAAAAGCAAGCCTTTCTTCCACCACCATGTCCTTCAATCCTTCTCGGATGGCTCTTTGCACAGGTGATTCTATTAATGGCGAATTAAACATTTCAGGATTAGGACATGAGGTGGAGGAGGCCATGAAGGCCATTCCTCCCATTTTTTCTTTTCTTTCTGCTCCTCTTTAGGAGTGGAGGGTGCAAGGGGAGGAGGTTTATCCTCCTTGGCCTCTCCTAAAGGCTCTAGCAAATGAAATACCATGTTTCGCAAGGGGAAACAGTTTGGAGGCAACTTTTTTCCCTGCTGCTGAAAGTTCTGACTAACTCTTTGCCAAACATTCAAAATCTAATGTACCTTCTTCAGGAAAACAAGGATTATGTTCTATAACATCAAGCAAAAATTATAAGAGAAACTTTAACTCCTTAAGCATGCAAACCAAAAGCCTTCAATAAAGTTTCTTACTTTTAAAGCCGAATCCTGCCCATTAGCCTAGCAGGAAAGACACGTTCCCACCCTACTTACAGATCGGGAATTCTGCAGCTGATCGTGGGCTTTGTGTGCGGTGAAATATCTTCCCACCTATACGGTGAATTCTTCCCCACCGTTACGGTGAATCTTCATTTTTTCACTCTAGGCGAAGTCTTCTCTTCCAGATGTCCCATTGAGGCGCCAGATGTGTAAATTTTTATGTGTTTGTTTGTTCCCCCCACGTCCCGCGTGGTTCAGGGTTCAGGATCTGGAAGAGGGGCCGCACACAAATGATAGAGACGAGACAAGTAATAATTTGGAAATATTGGGGGGCCAGGCGGGCAAGTCCAACTCAAGGGGAAGGACTTCCACTGGTGCTCAGGCCTCGCCAACCTTTTATTGGTTTGGGATACACCCATAGCCCTTAGGCAGGCAATTTCCAGTGACAGGCAGACTAGCCCATCAGCAAGGATTTACATAATAATAAATGGGGAAGTTGCTTCATCTACCATTGTCTGGACTAACAGTGGGTGCACAGCCCTGACCTTTGCCAGGGCTTCTAGGGTCACCAGCCTTCCAGGTTCCTTGTCCACACCTCTCTGCTAGTGAAGACAATAGGTGGCTTCCCACAAGAGAGTGGAAGGGAGGGGAAGAGACACATGGACTAGTTGCCTGCAGCCTGTGCCTGAACCAGGGCCAAGGATCAGGCTTGCAACTGAGGTACGTGCCCTTGACCGGAATGGAACCCCTTCAGTCCACAGGCCGATGCTCTATCCACTGAGCCAAACCTGCTAGGGCTGGCGAATAGCTCTGGTAATTAGGGTGACCTGCTTTAGAGCTGTCACTCAGGTGTAATTATTAATAACGCCCCTATTCTCACTCAACACTGTCCCATTTGGGATGATAAATGATATGGTCACCCTACTTAAAGTGGGGCTAATTTTTCCTTCCTCGGCAGGGAAGCAGACCCTGGAGACGGCTTTCCACCCACAAGCCTTTGCTGTCACTCTGGAAAGCACAGAGAATTTCATTTTCCCAACATGGCCTGGCTCCCTTTGGGTTTGTGGGCTAGAGGCAGATAGAGGCGGAAAGACTATCTTCGAGCCGGGCTGTCATTCCTTCCTCCCTTCTCCTACACAGCCAGCTTCAACATCAGCAGGTCTCTTTCTAGAGAACATTTCTAAAAACCACAGTAGCCCAAACCTTCCTAAAACCCCGACTTTCATCCATCACAATTTCTAAACCGCCACCCTTGAAACTGGGGTGTGAGACTCCTTTCCACGCCCACCTTCCTCCGCTCAGGACGGCACAGCTCGGGATCCGCACTGCAGCCCCCACGCCCAGCTGCCTGGAGCTCTGGGAAGCAGGAGCTAGAGAACTCAAAATAGCTGGAGCCCGAAAGGGAATGTTTGGCTCATGTAACTAGAAGTTTGGGGGTGTTTGGCTTCAGGCATGACCCAACAGTATCATAAGGATTGGCTCCTGCCTGTCTCTCTCCCTCTCCCTCTCTCTCTCTCCAACACACACACACTTTTTCTCAGCTCTGCTTCCTCTAGTAGCGTATCCCTTGTACAGCAATGGAATAGCTTCATTGCAGGTGTTGACCATGTACCCCCACTGAAGTGGAGGTAGAGACAGGCTATGTCCCTCCTTAAATCACAAAGATTAAGGGCGAGAAGGGGGTTGTTTTCCCAAAGGTATTGTTGCCAAAAAGAGGGGAGATGGGCCGTAACCGGTTTGGCTCAGTGGATAGAGCGTCCGCCTGCGGACCGAAGGGTCCTAGGTTCGATTCCGGTCAAGGGCATGTACTTGGGTTGCGGGCACATCCCCAGTAGGGGGTGTGAAGGAGGCAGCTGATCGATGTTTCTAACTCTCTATCCCTCGTCCTTCCTCTCTGTAAAAAAACAATAAAATATATTAAAAAAAAAAAGAGGGGAGATGGATGCTTGTGAGGGTAAGAAAAACAACGGATGTCCACCTTATACTTGCAAGCTTAAACCATGTAGGCTAATCTAGCCAGGTCAACCCCCCACCCCTGAGTTTGTCCCTCCCCCAAGCATGTTTTAAGTAAAATAAATTTTACATTAGAATAGTTTCTTAATGCAAATGTGAGGAAGTAGTTTAGAAAAAAAGAAATAAAAGCATAATTACAAGAGATTATTCTTCCAAATATTAAAAATTTAATGTCATAGTAATTAAAGCAACAATCCATGAAATATAGAAATATTAATGGAATATATTTTAAAATCCTGGAATATATCTAAGTGTACATAAAATTGAATTTATTGTTATTATTTTTTCAAATATCAATTCCCCTTTAGAAAGGTGAGGATGAGAATAGTTATTTTACTTCAAAATGAAGAAAAAAAAAACAAGGGTAAAATATTTGCTTGATTTAAAAAAATAATAATAAAACCCAAACCCATGGGCTAACACGTTTAGATGTCCCTGATGTTGCTGTGTGTCTTTGGAACCTGCTGGACTGCCTCCTCTTGAATGATTTAAAAATACATATATATTTTTATTGATTTCAGAGAGGTAGAGAGAGAGAAATATCAATGATGAGATAGGACCACTGACTGGCTGCCTCCTGCACACCCCCCACTGGGGACCGAGCCTGCAACCAGGGCATGTGCCCTTGACTGGAATCAAACTCAGGACCCTTCCGTTCGCAGGCCAACGCTCTATCCACTGAGCCAAACCGGCTGGAGCCTCTTGAATGATTTTCTATTACCTTCCCCCCACCCCCAGGACATGAAGGGCTGGGGGAGGGCGCCTGAAGAGGGAGAAAGGAATGTCATTTCTGTCTGGTCTCAGACTGCTATCTTAGCTGGGAATGTGCAGTTCGTTAATTTCAAGCTCAACATCTTCAACAGTGATTGGGAGCAGGAATTAGTTAATTCCGCAAGTATTTGTTGAATGCCTACTCTCTTATCTTTTCTCTCTCTGTCTTCACCCTCTGTCTCTCTCCAAGACCTTTCCCATCAGCATTCAAACATCCCCAAGGAGCTCGCATCTTAAAAACCAAAGAAATAACCACACAGAAAATCCTCCTCAGAGCCACCTTCCTTCCTTCCCAGCTACCTCCCCTTCACAACCAAATGTCCCACCAAGTTCCCTCTGTGAGACCTGCATTTTCTCACCTCCCCGTCCCTCCTCTGGCTCCTCCTGCTGTCACTGGAACGAGAGAGTTTGTGGAAAGAGTAACACTTTCTGGGAACACAAACCTCTGCATGTGGCTTTGCTGCAGCACTGAAATAGTAATTGTGCAATGGCAAGCGGATTGTGAGCTTCCGGAGGATCAGGCAGGACTCTAGTTACTCAATGAAGTCCTCCTGTTGAGTGTTACCATATGTCTACCCCAGTCATGGTGACTAGCATTGAATAAGTGGTAAATAAATTATCGTTGAAGCAACTATTTGACCTGGATTGGCAACAGAAGAGAAGGGACAGGTTTGGCCTGGGATGGAGATAATGAGTGAACTTCTGGGTTAGAAATGGAGAGGGCACTGTATGAGGAGCAAGGCAGAAATCACTCCAGGGAGGGCGCAGTAGACAATGTGAAATGCAACAGGCGAGTGTATCATCTTTTCAAACTGAACACTACGAGGAGGTTGCTGGATTGGCCAACCATGATCAATGACCTCCCTCCTCCCCCCTCTTTTTTTTGAGGGGTGGAGGGCAGTTTGCTAGAATGTTGCCAGGCTGCAAATGCTGAAGGAACAGTAGTTTGTAGGGAAAATGCAAGGATCACAGCACAATGAACCCGGGTGGACAGTCAACAGAGTGACGAGCGGCCGGAACTGTGGGGAGGTAGGTGCTCACATCCAGAATCTTCTCATCAATTCTGCATCTTAAATGACTCCAGCTCATCTTCTCCCGGTGGCTCAGGCTCTCCCGAGAAAGGGAACTACAGCGGAAAAGAGGATACACTTTTCTTAAATGTAAACTAAAGCCCTCACTCCAGTGCTCTCACTCTAAGCCCTTGCAATGGGAGAGGCCACGTGGATATGACGGGTAATTATGACCTATTTTTTCGGACACGTTTTAGAGCATCCTAGATCCTAGAACCTCTTTTCCCAGCTCCTTGTGAGAGAACACAGCTTTAGTCCTTTCGTCTCTCTCTGGCCCTTCTTGATTTTCCCACGAGGGCCCTGGGTATGCAGTTCCAGAATTAGACAGGAATTTGTGGAGGCTGCGATAGACTCCTGACAGGCCGGAGGTGGAGTTCCTCTCTCGCAGCCAACGTCCTCCTCCCCTAACCCCACCCTCCCCCTCCCTCCGCCCCCCTCCGCGCGCCACAGGGGCCTTCACGTCCGTTTTGTAGGATCCAGGAAACTGAATCCTGAAGGTGAATGAGGGCGAGATGAGCAGAAAGTCCAGATCGATCCTCATTCAGCAGCACACGGGTGCTTTTTTTTTTTTTGCGTGACTTATTGTTAATTCATGAAATGTGTTCGCCATCTTTTCATTTAATTACTTTTCTTGAAAAAGATGCCTGGGACACGGCCAACATCGGAGGGAGGAATGTCCCAGTGAGGGTCAGGATCTGGAAACAATCAGCCCTTATGGTTTTGAGGACGAAGCGCCAAGATCTTAAGGAACCCTGAATTCCTAGTGAGCAGTGAGCGGTCAAGTCCTTTATCCCCCCCCCCCCCCCCCGCCCCGTAGGATTCGGGAGGTTTAAAAAAAAAGAAAAGGAACCAAGAGAAAGAAAATGATTAAAAGGCAAGTCAACCCACCCGACACTTCCTCCTTTCTAAAGAAAAGGCCTCTCCGCCGCAGGGTCTTCCCGCAGCCGACAGCGCAGCGCGGGCCCCCGAGGAGGGGACCACCGTCTGCGCGCGGAGCGCCAACTCCAGGCGGTGACCGCGTCCCCGGAGCGCGGGGCAGGGCCCAGGGCGCGACCCCCCAGCCTTCCCTTCCCGGGAGCGCGTAGGGATGCAGGCAGCGCCTTCCTCCCGTCCCAGGGTCCGCGTCTGGTCGGGGATGCTGCGGTGGCAGGAAGTCCCCGGGAACTACAAATCGAGGCATGCTGGGAACGGTCCCCTGCTCCTCCCAGGAAATGTCCTTTGTCCAGCCCCACAGGAAGCCCCGGCGAGGACTCAGCCGGGCAGCTCGCCAGTCTGCCAGCGAGCCAGCGCCGCTGCAGCTGCCACCGCCGCAGCACAAGGGCAGGCGCGCCGCGGCGCAGGGTTCGGGCCGGGCGCTCGCCGCCCTTCGTTCCCGGGCGGCCCGGCGCCGGCGAGGGAGGAGCCGGCCCGCGGTGGGCTTGCCCCGCCGCCTGGAG